ACCGCCCCTCCTCCTTTCCCCAGCCCTCCCTCTTCCCTGCATGCATCCCCCCTTTCAGCCTGATGCTGTGTGGGGGTACCGAGGTCCCAGCGCTGAGGCGGGGCACAGCCCAGGAGAAGGAGGTGACACTCAACTGAGACGACTGTCTGAAGGCTGGGCGTGGTCGCTCAGCCTGTAGTCCCAGCACTTGGGGAGGCCAAGGCGAGAGGATTGCCTGAGCCCGGGGGTTCGGTGCATCTTCCGTGCCTCATTTTTAACCTTTTCTCTGTTTAGAGATGTCTAGATCCTCACCACTGTGCTCCAGCTGCCAAGAGTCTTCAGTACAGAAACTTGCTATGCAGGTGTGGGTCCAAGGAGCGACCGGCTGGGCTGCACAGCCCAGGTCAGCTGGCTCCACCATCTGGGTTGTGTGAGTTCACTCCAGGACGTCCACACAACAACAGAATCGCCTAATGACACACTTCTCAGAGCATAGCCCCGTAATTAAGTGACACTTGAATCGATGACACATCCGAGGTCGGACAATTAAATTTGCGAACTTGCCACCCTGCACTTACGCTGCCAGCACTGCACAAACAACTTGGTATGGTCTCATAACCTTGGTATATCAATGTCTCACAGCTGTGTTCGTGTCAATGTGTGGCGGTGACTTGCTGAGTGGCATTCATTATTTTCGCGTGTTTTTGTGTGCCATCATGAGAATGTCAGAGCTTGAGTTAGAGCAGCAAACAACCATTAAATTTCTTGTTAAACTTGGCAAGAGTGGAAGTGAAATCAGGGATGCGCTAGTCTGAGCTTAAGGGGATAATGCCATGAAGAAAATGGCAGGGTGCAAATGGATTAAATGTTTTTCTGAGTGAAAGTGTCACCGATGAAGAGAGGTCAAGATGGCCAGTAACAAGCAGAACTGATGAAAACATTGCAAAAATTCCTCGAATTGTGCGTCGAAATCATTGGCTGACTGTGAAAAGCATAGCAGGCCAAATAAACATCGATAGACAGGAAAATCTTTAACTGAAAATCCTGACATGAGAAAGCTGTGTGCAAAATTGGCCCTGAAGGAGCTCACTGATGAACAAAAACAGAGTCGAAGTTTGCCAAGACCATTTGGAGAGGCAAGACGATGTTTTGGGCCATGTTATCACTGGTGATGAGACATGGGTGTACCAGGACAACCCTGAAACAAAGCGTCAAAGTGCACAATGGAAGTCAGCCAATTCTCCATGACCAAAAATGTTCCATCCGTCCAAATCAAGAGTCCAAACGATGTTACTAACCTTTTTTGATATCACAGGGATTGTTCATTATGAATTTGTACCAACTGGACAAACAGTTAGCCAATTTTACTATTTGGAAGTGCTGAAAAGCATGTAGGAAAAGTTATACAAGGCCAGGCGCGGCGGCTCAAGCCTGTAATCCAAGCACTTTGGGAGGCCAAGGCGAGAGGATTGCCTGAGCCCAGGGTTTTGAGACCTAGCCTGGGAAACTTGGCAAGACTTCATCTCTACACTATGTCAAAAAATTAGCCAGGCATGGTAGCGCATGCCTGTAGTTCCAGCTACTTTGAAGACTGAGGCAGAAGGATCGCCTGAACCTAGCAGGTCGAAGCTGTGGTGGCCGTGAGTGTGCCACTGCATTCCAGCCTGGGCAATAGAGTGAGACTCAGAAAAGTCAAACAAAAACGACCTGAACTTTTCACCAACGGCTCATGGCTCTTGCATCATAACAATAGCACTGTTTGTGAGGGAGTTTTGAGCCAATAAACTAATAACTATATTGGAAAACCCTCCCTACTCACCTGATCTGGTCCCAATGACTTTTTTTCTTTACATGAAGATAAAGGAAATATTGAAAGGAAGACGTGTTGATGACATCAAGGGTAATACCACAATGACTCTGATGGCCGTTCCAGAAAGAGTTCCAAGGTAGCTTTGATGGGTGGACTAGGCACTGATGTTGGTGCATAGCTTCCCAAGAGGAGTACCCTGAAGGGGACCATAGTGATAGTCAGCAATGAGGGAGGTAGCATTTTTTTCTGGGATGAGTTCGCAAACTTAATTGTCACACCTCAGAGAGATGTGGGAGACGTCTGGAACGGTGCAGACCACGTCTATGGAAGGAAAGGCACAGCCTCAGTGAGTCTACAGAAGCCCTCCACCTTCTACGAAGCACCACTCGGACCGTATCAGATGTCCTTCTACTGATGTTGAGGTCATCGCCATGGAATTGCTTTCTAACTCGGCCTTCACACGGTTTGAACCAAGCGAGTCAAGGATGTTTGTGATGTATTGTCCTTTGGTGTTCTTCAGTTCTCAAACCCACCCGGCTCTCACTGGCTCTTTAACAAATGAAGCCTAGACAAGCCTCAGTTTGTTTCTTTGAAGCACTAAAATCATACTTTAATTCTGAAAAAAGACGCCACCACCCCCCCCGCCGCCGCCTGAGTTCTTGACTTTTAAACTAATCCACAGAGTGAAGCCCATTTTATTTATTTTATTGTGGTTTTTACTGAGTCAGAGTCTCACTCTGTCGCCCAGGCTGGAGTGCCATGGCACAGCCTTGACGTCCTGCAGCCTTGACCTCCTGGACTCAGGTGATCCTGTTATCTCAGTTCCCAAATAGCTGGGACTGCAGGCATACCACTACACCAGTAAATGTTTTGTAGAGACGAGGTCTTGGCTATGTTGCCCAGGCTGATCTTGAACTTTTGGACTCAAGCAGTCCTTTCCTCTTGGCCTCCTAAAGTGTTGGAATTACAGGTGTACCACTACACCCAGTTAGTTTTTGTAGAGATGAGGTCTTCTATGTTGCCCAGGTTGGTCTTGAACTCCTGGGCTCAAACAATCCTCACTTCTTGGCCTCCCAAATTACAGGTGTGAGCCACTACACGCCCCCCCCCTTTTTGACATAGAGTCTCACTCTGTCACCCAGGCTGGAGTGCAGTGTCACTCCTCAACCTGCTGGGCTCAGGTGATCCTTCCGCCTTAGCCTTCCAAGTAGCTGGAAACACAGGCACACACCACCATGCCCAGCTAATTTTTTTTTTTTAATTTATTGTAGAGACAACGCATCACCAAGTTGTCCAGGCTGGTCTCAAACCCAGGGGCCCAGGCAATCCACTCGTCTTGGCCTCCCAAAGTGCTGGGATTATAGGCTGAGTCACCAAGCCCGACCACCAGCCCCATTTTATTTCTTATTGTGGTTTCCAATATCTGTTTAGTAACAGGATTGTGCAAACTGTAGTGTTAAGTGCCCCTGTGCTTACAAGAATTTGCTAAATGTGTCAAGCATTTTTTAAAAATGCATCTCTTCAAGTATCGAAACTATTCTTTCAAGGAACAATATATACAACAAGAAGAGGAATTCTTGATTTCCCAAAGCGCATAATTATTGCAGCCTTTGCCACTACTCTCTTGTGAAACAGACTTCATCCCCTGACAAATTCGATTCTTGTATGTAGATGTGCTAAATACTCCAGCCCATGGGGCAAGTGCAGTAATCACAAGAAGTGCTGGAAGGGCACAAGAGGTGGCAACAGGGGGCTCCTTGTCGTCGGTGGACAGCGCTTTAATCAAGAGTCGCAACCCAACCCCTGAAGAACAGAAAAGGGCCTTCGCCCATCACAGACGCAGCTCTGAGCCTTGGCAGACGACTGGCCAGGGGCCGAGACCGCGTCGCTGACTCACACCAGCGCATGCGCAGTGCCGGGCCTGGGCTGACCTGTCCCGCGCAGAAAGGACCATGTAAGTTGGGCGTGACCCCTGCAAACACCACGTGACATGCCAGTGGGACCCGGGCTGCAGCTGCAAGGAATGTATGCGTTCCCCCAAAAGAAGAAACTGTTAAAAACAAATCATCAGAGAAATAGAATTGGCTGAGAGAGGCATGTGATTTACGAGTAGGGTTTATTTCAGATGAACTATGAATGCTGAGCATGTAGTGAGATACACGGGCAGAGCTCCAGGAAAGCTTCCGAGAGAGACCAGAAAGCAGGGCGTGTGAGGGACCAGCTTGGTCCCCAGGGAGTATCACCCCTGGGGGTTGCGGAGGCGGGCAGGGCGGAGGGAGGCAGAGATGGGATGCAGCCCAGTGACAGCTGAGGCTGAGCCCTGGGGGACCCCGGAGGCTCGAACTGCCTGCAGAGGGGTCCCCGTTGGGGCCGGGATGGTCAGAGCTGTGCACCTCGGAGACTGAGTGGAGGAGGTGTGACCAGGTGGGGCGCTCTCTGCAGACACGCCTCCGTGGATACTGCATATCAGTGTCCTTGATGCCCCAGGAGGGCCTGTGAGTTGGGGTTTGTTGCCAATATGGAGGGGGAAACTGAGGCTTGGGACTCTTAATTAGGAAAGGACTGAACTTAGCCCAGTTCTGCCCATCACACGCCAGCAGGACTCCCGGACCCCGGTTGGCATCCCGCTCCCAGCAAGCTGTCCTCTCAGGAGCCGTCCCTGACATCTCTTCCCCAGAGAAGCCGCGGGCCCTTGCGGTGTCACTTACAGAATTTGATCTCCGAGTACTCTGAGGCACTGGTGGCCGCCTGGTCATGAGGTTCCTGGGGCCTCATACCCTGGAAGCTGAGGGAGGCGTAAGGCAGCTCCCGTTCCTCCCCTGAGGTGGGGGTGGCCCCAGCTGGGGGCGCAAGGTCTGGGGGGCTGCCTGGTGGGCACTCTTGCCAGCCACCCTGGATGCAGGGGACAGAAGAGGGTCACATTAGGAGAGAGGGGGCTGGGAGACAGCAAGGAGGGTCCACCGGTGAACTTGGAGACGGAGCCTCAAGTCTTTCATCTAGTCATTCCACAAACACTGGCTGGGCCCCCATTCATTCATTCGTTCACACATTCACTCAGCAAATGTTTGAGAGCAATAAGGTACCACCTTTGGTTCTTGAAGCCGGTCTCATAAAATCCTCACAACAATACATGGGGAGACACTATTACTCCCACTAATCATATGGAGAAACTGAGACTAATAACCCAAACCACACATCTGAGGGGTGGTCAGGCCAAGATGCACGTCCGGGTCTCTCTGACTCCAGCACCTCCTGCTTTACGGACCAGCTCCCTGGGCCAGGCCCTGGATATTCGGTGGGGCCTAAGCAGACACCATTCCCGAGCTCACATGCTGGGAGTAAGGACAAAGAAGCAGACACTGAAGTCCCTGTTAATCAAGTTACTATCTAATTGCAAACTGTGATGGGCTGTTGGGAATGTGTGGTGTGAGGACAGGGGTCCATTCAGTCCCGCACTGCCCTCGGGGCCCACTCACACTCAGAGATCCAGGTGCTCACATGCAGTCGACAAACTGAGCTGTGAGCCCAAGACACAGGACACCGGAAGTAAAGGAGTCGCTTGCCCAAAGGAAGGTGGGACCCTCTGTGCCCAGCTCCTGGGTGGGACGCTCTAACTGAGGCCCCCAGAATATCCCGCCTGAGAGATTTATCCTTGGTCACTGGGAGCCACAGGCCAAGCCAGGTCATCTGTGCCAACACTGGGATTGATGGGGGGCCTGGGTCACTGGCATCCGGGTGACTCTAGAGTGGCCAGAGACTGAGTCACAGAGGTCAGTCACATGCGTGTCCATGCCTATGGGGCCCTCCCAAATCCCACCCCAGATGCCAAGGCTGCATTGAAGGGACCCAAAGCAAAGGCTTGTTTGGGGCACGATGAATCTCCGTCATCAAGAGGAAGATGGCCACGGCCCTTCTGGGGAGGGGACCAGATGGGACCACGGCGGACAGTGGGCCGGTCACTCACTCGGGAGTCTGGACCCAGGGCAGCCATGGCGTCCTTCTGGGCTGCCCTCCTGATGGCTTTTCTCCTGCAGGTCTTCACCCTGAGGGAGGAGCCAGGACCTCTCAGCCTCCCAGGGGCTCCAGCCTGAGGGGCCTGCCGCCCACTTAGAGGAGGCCAGAAGACTGCTGAGATTGGGGAGGGGGACATATCACCGGGTGACCTCCCACTTGCATGGCCCCTGCTCTGATCCCCTAAGACCCAGTTCTCACAAGCACGACCCTGTCCAGACTCCTCCAACTGGGGCTGGCTGGGGGTCTAGGACAGCCCCCTTCCCACACCCGGCACTGTCCTCCCCCCACCAGGGCGACGCCCACCTGAGGAAGATGAGGCAGAAACAGAGACTGAACAGGGCAGCAGCAACGGCTCCCGCGACGGCCCCCAGAAGGAACCGTCCCCCAGGCTGTGGCCTCCCTGCAGACGTGGGTGGCTTGGAGTGTTGCCCCTCACGCCCCGCGACCCTCGAGTCCCTCCTCTCCCGGAACTAGAGCTCTCGGTTTTTCTCTCCCCACCATCCGAAGAGCTGGGACCTCCCCCAACTCCTGCCCCGAGGCCCAGCCCCGCCCCACAGCCCCAAGCCCC